ACGGTTACAAGCAATAAAATAATGGGGAAAATAGATGATTGGAATTTGAACAGAAAAATCAAATCATTCTAGTCATGTAGAGGAAAGTGCAAAACAGTGGAGCCACCAGACCAGGTCTGGGTACCAGCTAGCAAAGATAAGAAAGGCCATGCAAGGGGTCACAAGGAAACAATCTGTCAAGAACAGACTAGGTTTGGAATGATAACTACCAAAGATACGAACTGTCATGCAACAGATCATGTCATGGTCAATGAAAGGCAGAGATGACATAGAAAGGAATGCTGGCAAGGGATTAAAAGAAAGCTTTAAGGGACTTCATTCTGAGAGACCTCACCATTCCTGCAAGTTACCGTTGGATTCTGGCACCTCATCTTTCCCAGCCCTCTTGGCCAATGTGCAGTGGGGAAAACGTGAGTAAAGAAGTGCATCCATGTGTGTTCATATATGAGTAACTCTTAGGCAAACTGAATCCAAAAAAGCTTTTGTAGGTTAACAGAGACTTTCTGTGTGCTGTGTATTTGCTGTGAGCATTTCATGAGATAAGATCTTGAGCTCTTGTATCTCCATTTAAAGTGTATGATTGTCTCCACTAAGAAATCACCCCCCCTTGCCCCACTATCTACTATGAAGCCTCAGATGCACTTATCTAGTGTCTGGATTAGGGAAAACCCAATGGGGGGGGGCATGTGTGCCTCAGTGGGGTGTTTGAAAGTAAAAGGGAATGAATTAAGTGTAAATGGAAGAACTTACAGCAGTAGCCCACAGTAGACTTAACCTCCATAGATGCATTTAATCTGCTTTTCAAACTGTCCAATGTAGAGGCTCTGACTGTATTTCAAGTGAATGCATAAATTTACTGCTCTGTGAAGAATTCCTTTCCCTTCTTTCTCCCTTGACACCCCCCCCCCCAAAAAAAACCCCTCCGTCTGTGAATTCTAGAACCACGCGAGATGCAGGAAAAGAGAACTCTGCACATTCTGAATAGTGTAGGTAATTTTACAGAGCCTCTTTCCCCAGGGCCAAAGTGGGATGTTTGGGTATTGCCCATCCAAAGAGTTATGCTTTGGAGTATGCTGGTCTGTCCTAATTAAGTTCCTTAATTAGGGCTAGGAACTAGCTGATGAAAGAGAAGTGTCTGTACTCATTACATCAGCACAGTTGGAAGGCTGAACATCAAAGAGGAGCGGATCGGCTCTGGAGTGGAGGGGAAAACATGTTCCACGCTACCTCTCTCCTTTTCCTTAAGCGCATCTTCTTTAAACACGTAAATTATGTAAGGCTTATAACCTCCCTTAGGACAAACTTGCTGCTTCTTGCTCAGTCTTGGCTCTGTCAAACATTACCTAAGCTTGCTTGCTTACTGACTCTCTCTCCCTCTTTGTCCCTCTGAAGGTGGAGCCCTCTTGCAATAAAACGAAAAAAAAAAAAAAAGATAAACAAAAAATAAGGTGAGAGCAAATATCCTAAAGTTCCCCCCCCCCCCCCCCAGCACCCAGGTCTGGCAGTTCAGATAAAACCACATCGAATCTGAAATCCTCGAAGATTGCTGTCTCGCTGCCTGTCAAGTCCTCCTCAAATTCCACCTCCTCCTCTGAGACCTAAGACACGCTCCGCCTGTGCTGTGAATAATCCTAGGAAGTTTTTATATATTTTGTAAGACTGTTCTTTTCTTTCCCTTTTCTCTTTTAGTGCCTGTCTGAGCAGTCCTGCCTTTCTTCTGCCTGTCATCATGTTGATGCAGGAGGCTGAAGATGACCATTCTCTGCTCATCTATATGGGAGCCACTGTGATCTATGGTGGGACAATATTTTATCAAGCCAAGAAGAACCGAGTGGAGAAAGCAACTGCTTTTCGCTGTGGCCTCCTGTTGCTTTTGGTTGTGGAAATCCTCTGCTTTTCCACCCTGAGAAGTTCTGTAGGCTTGGCTTTATTCTCCCTGGCGTGTCTCATGTTTTGCTTTTACACTCCTGTGCAAGCCATGTTACCCGTGGATCGTAAAGCGGTGCTCATCACAGGTAAGGGAGAGAGATCTGTTCCGTTTTCAGTTTATCCATCCAACTTCTTGAGAGAAAATGCAAAGTTTACATTTACTCTGTTTTCTCTGAAATAACTCTTCCAAGAACTTGGCTTCCCCCGGCTAACCTGTTTTCCTTTATTAAGGTTAATTTATCCACTCTACCCGATTCTGAAGTAAGGATATTTTTCCCCCTCAGATTGAAATGTTACGGTACTTTGGGCTTCCAGTTGGACTTCTGTGCAAGGATGCTTTGGGATGTAGGGATTGTAAACCGTGAAATAACTTATGATTTGAGGTTGTTATCTGACCTTGTCTTCTTTTTTTCTTTCCATGCAAAACGGGAACAGGCAGCCTATTATTAAGCCTCTTTTTATAAAGGTTAACTAGAGCCGTTTTTCATGTCTGACATGCGGCTTTAAAGAGCCAATGATAAATGGCGACAGAGTGAGTCCAAGAATGTGTGGTGGTGGGTGTGGATAGCACCTTGACACAAATTGCTTATTTGCTGGTACAGCAGCTTGTCATGAAGAGTGTGACACAATGCCTCGGTCCAGGCTGTCTGGAGCAAGAAAGACAATTCATCAATGGGCTCTGAAAATAATAGTAATTCTCCTTCTCTCTCTCTCTCTCTCTCTCTCTCTCTCACACACACACACACACACACACACACACACACTGTGAATGAAAGAGAAAGAAAAAACTTAAGACCATAGCAGGCTTCTTCATCCTCACCTATATACCTTTGTGCTCCATCCGTTCCTTTCAGTGCTGTGCTGAAAGATCTCTCTCTCTCTAGATGTTAGATATTGTTCATTGTCCACTGGAAATTGTAAATATGGCTGCTTGGGTGACCGGTGTTGGAGAAGGGCTGAACTGACACTAGCAAAAGTTCATCTTTTAAAAAGGAAAAGGTCCTGCTCTTTTAAAAAGGAAAAGGAAGGAAATCTTTTAAAAAGGAAAAGGAAGGAAGGAAGGAAGGAAGGAAGGAAGGAAGGAAGGAAGGAAGG